TGAAGTCGTCCATTTCATCGTGCATGTGTCTCCGGTGACCGGACCTCCCGTAGTCGGCAGCGGGCTCTTCATCTTCATCGGAGTTGAAAATATCGTCAATGCCCTGGGACGCTTGTCGGAGATCGCGATCCTTGTGACCACGCTTAAGACGTTTGAACTTGGGCTGGGATACTAGTTAGAATCGCCCCTGTGCAAAGGTAGAGAATCAGTGGGGGCAATGAATGAGGTGAACATACTTCTCCAGCAGAAGCTGACTGGAAGCTCGGGTTAAGTTCCCCAATGAGCTCCAGATCTTCCTCATCCAGATGTTCATCTTCGCGTTCGCGATCCCTTTGCTTTCGTTTCTCCCGTCGGCGCTCGGCGCGCTCCTCTATTTCCTCGTCCTCGTCGACAATGAAACCTTCGCGGACCTAAAAGTGGGTCAGTACCGGGTACATTAAATCAAGTAAAATTGGCGCATGATTGAACACAGAGGAAGACATACGGCGCGAGCGGCCTCCTCATCGTCGTCATCATCCTCATCCTCTTCACTGGAGTCGTAGTTGTTGTTGGTGCCAGCACCCTCGCGAACTTCGCCATCATAGTCATCGGCAAGCTCCTCCTCATTCTCATCGTCATCAATCATGGCCTCCCCCTCGACCAGATCGCGAGCGCTCATCTTCGGTTCTTGATGTGTTGGTGGACTAAAAGGTTGGGGAATAAGAAAAAGGGTGGATGGATGCAATCTGCGGAGACCGATTTGGGGGAGAGGAGTCGTTGAAGGAAACGAGTCACGACAAGAAGAACCGCCACAAGAGACGGTCACTCACAGAAGGTGGCCAAGCAGGAGGTTGAAAAGAAATGAAGAAAGGATGAGAGAGAATCTGGGCGGCTTTTGGATGGACGAGACGAGATCCGATGGCTTGCAGCAAAGAGACGCTGTGGCGCGGGCACTTGCTTCACCGCCCGCTGGAGCTGTGGCTGGAGAAAGAGCTCTCACGTGGAGACACTAGCCTGTTAGGGTCTAGCATTTAGGGGAGGGGGAGGACACCAGTGGCGCAGTTTGATAGGGGTCATGTGATGTGTTATACCCCTCGCTGAAACACTTCTTGTTTCTTCATTCTACAAACACATGAATACGAAATAACAGTCATATATTTGAAAGGGTGACTGGGGTGGACTGATCCCCTTCTCATCCCCTGTGCTGTGTTAAGGGTGAATAACTGGATGGAGGACAATAGGTTAGGTCTATCTACCCTATGACTTGCCAGACAAAGAGTGAAATGATAGACGGCGCCAACTCCCATCGCTTGTTTCAGCGGTCGTCACTAGACAGACCCGGTCGCTCTGTCTTTGTTTCGGATTTTTCCCTGAATAGAAGAACCTTTAAAAAAAAATCATCGTGCTAGTTTCCGAAAGTTGTAGACCTCGTGGCAGGAAAAAAAAAAAGAGGATACTAGTCAATAGTTGATACAAGCGTGTGCCTGGTTCCACTACTTTGATCTCCGCCCCAACTTTCTCCTCCTCACGGCGTCCCTCCAAAGCACGCCAAACCTAACTCCGACCCTCTCCCTCCAACACCATCCTTTCCCACTGGATCAAGTCGCCGGTTTGAGGAGCACTCACTCACTTTCTCATCCTCATCCCCTGTCGAACCCTCCAACGAATTTCAGCGCCCACAAACGCCACCAAACCGGGGTGATCAAGTCCACCACCAAAGAACACCCCCCACCTTCGCTCTCTCCCGAACCTCACGGCGCTTGTCCGGTGTCTCAGTGTCCAATAACTCCCCCGCCGCTGCTGGCCCAACGGTCGGACACTCGTCGACTTTTTTCTATCCTGTTTCCCTGACTAGCAAACTCCTCCTCCAGGAATCTTGGCCATAAATTCCATCGTGAGACGGTACTTTTTGCTTGGAACTGCTTCGTCTCCTATACCTGTCGCTGTATTCCTCCTTCTCTCCCCACCGTCTCTCACCTCTATCCCAAGTCACGGTGCGCACTATCGCTCCTGTGACACAACCATGGCCGATCAATTCAAGGCGCGAACACTCAAGCGCAAGAACGTCAAAGGCCTTGCCCTGAACGCAGCCCCGAAGCCCGCCGCCAATAACTCCGATGGCGATGCTCAGGTTCCAGGCGCCATTGGAAATGCCGATAGCAACCGCACCGATACTCTGGAGATCGGTCTCGAGTTCCGTCTCGACCTGCGTAGCGAGGACTTGGTTACTCTGAAGGAGCTGGGCGCTGGAAATGGTGGTACGGTCTCAAAGGTCATGCACGCCTCCACGAAGGTGGTCATGGCTCGAAAGGTGCGTGCCTTCTGGGGACCCTCGTCGTCCGTGCTTTGCCGTAGACCCGGCATATATGCTGACTCCATCATCCTAGATCATCCGTGTCGACGCAAAGGAAAATGTGAGAAAGCAGATCTTGCGGGAGCTCCAGGTTGGGCATGACTGCAATTCCCCCCACATTGTCACCTTCTATGGTGCCTTCCAGAATGAAGCCAGAGATATTGTCTTGTGTATGGAGTACATGGATTGCGGGTAAGGGAGCCGCTGCCTATCTTCTTTATCTGTTGGTTTCAAGCTAACCTGGACCCTTGTATGATAGCTCGCTCGATCGCATATCCAAGGACTTTGGTCCCGTGCGGGTAGACGTGTTGGGCAAGATCACCGAGTCTGTCCTGGCCGGTCTCGTGTATCTGTACGAAGCTCATCGTATCATGCATCGCGATATTAAGCCTTCCAACATTCTCGTCAACTCGCGCGGCAACATCAAGCTGTGCGACTTTGGCGTTGCAACCGAGACTGTCAACTCCATCGCCGATACGTTCGTTGGCACCTCCACCTACATGGCCCCCGAGCGTATTCAGGGTGGTGCGTACACTGTGCGCTCGGATGTGTGGAGTGTTGGATTGACGGTGATGGAATTGGCGGTTGGCCGCTTCCCCTTTGACACGTCGGACTCGTCGGCAGGCGACCGTGCCAGCGCCGGTCCGATGGGCATTCTGGATCTGCTGCAGCAGATCGTGCACGAGCCCGCTCCGAAGTTGCCCAAGAGCGACGCCTTCCCTCCCATCCTGCATGAGTTTGTCGCCAAATGTCTCCTCAAGAAGTCCGAGGAGCGCCCCACGCCTCGCGAGCTTTATGTATGTCCCACCCCTTGTCCGCTTTTGGACTACTGTCTTTTTCCGGATTTGACTGACAGCCGATCTAGGACAAAGATGCGTTCCTGCAGGCCGCCAAGCGGACGCCGGTTGATCTCCAAGAATGGGCCATCAGTATGATGGAGCGACACAACCGCAAGTCGTATCTGGCTCCTCCGCCGCCCAAGTCGCTCAAGGATGAGCCCCCGGCTGCCCGATCTACTCCGTCCCCGAAGCCTCAACCCCAGCCCCAACCCAGCAGCAAGCCGATGCGCACTCCCCAGTACGCCCCCAGCGACATTCCCTCCAGCGTGGGCCGCAATAGCCCCTCGCAGTACCAGTACAACTATGCCCCCGCAAACCCATCTCCGCGTCCACCCCGGTCGACACGCTCGCCTCCCATCTCTCTCGAGCATCTGTCGTTGGAAGATGAGTACCGCTCCGGCCGTCGACCCTCGCGGACTCCCGTCGGGGGCCCCTCTTCCGGATTGGAACCCCCCATGCATCCGATGGGATCTCGCTCCGCCAGCTCACACAACACGAAGTCGCGAATGCCCCTACAGTCAGCAGTACTGCCCATGCGAAGCACGCCTCCCCCGAACGGACCCCCGCCCCCTGCTCCTGGAAACGGATCCTGGCAACGCCAGCCAAACTCCATGCGCGGGGATCATATGACGGGTGCTGTCTAGACTGCCGGCCATGTATCCATCATTTCAACTCTCTCCTCACCTCTCCTCACCTCTCTTCACTTCTCTCACCCATTCCCCCAATTCCCTCATCCTCCTCTTCTTCTAGAATCTGTGGACGTGACGAATTGACAAACAAATGACACATACCCACAAACACACCGCTACTTGCTTGAAGCATGAACCTCTGAACCATGTATCCCATTCAACCTTACATGATGTATGTCCATGACAAACACACACACACACACAACATTTTTGCATCGGCAAGGCGTATTCATTCATTGGCCTTTCTTTTCTTCTTCTTCATCTTCTTCATCTTCCATTTTCTTTCTTCTTCATCTCATTTGTCATATTCCTTTCTGTCAGATATACATACATCCATAGCTTCTATTTTTTTTATTTTTTTCCATGTCCTTTTTTCTTTTCCTATCACTTCATATCCTATTTTGCATATTCTAGGTCATCTTACCCATCTAGCTGACTGTAAGTATCTTCTTGTGTCATGTCACTCATCTCCGTTGGTCACTGGTTACGTATGTTTCATTGCTCGATAGCATGGAAGAATTTAAGATGGGGATGAATATAACAAAGTAAAGTTAGCACAATGCTTTGCCATGATAGATTACGTTACCTGCAATTTGTAGCAAGGGAAATGGTCAATGGTAAAGACGGTTATTTCTGTTTGGTGTTACGTAGATTCTAGCATAGACTAAAGTCATGTCTATGTTGACTGCTGTTTACCAAATTGATTACAGCCTACAGCCTACACCCTCGGAATGAAACAAAGGAACTATGCCTGTCAAATGTTTTGCTTCGTTTTTGTCGCTGGACAGTGAAATAGTATGGGATGAATGATCGTAGAAACACTGCCTATCCGTGGGATAGTCAACAGATAAACATAGAGCAAACGCAGGTCACACAGATACAATTGAGAAGCATAAACACCGCACCGAATCATGCAGGTAAGAAAAGAGGAAATCCCATCACACCATACGAGAGACGTAGAGAATAGCGCCGGGTGGCAAACAAGAAGACAACAAATATAGACGGCCAGAACCCACACATCCGACATCAAACACAACCCAACATCAAACTGGATGGACCCTTCTACTCATGCCCGTTCATCATTCCCCCTGTAACCCGGAATCCGACGACGCCAAACGAAAGGAAAATAATGTAAGGACCAAAAGCACGCACACACTGAGCAGTCCGTCAAACAGGAACAGACATGCCTGATTCCCAGCACAGGACACTCATGGCGAGACTGAGGAGAGAAAAGAAGATGAGAGAGGGATCGCCCTACTTCATCGCAAGCTCCGATCCACCCACTGGACTGGGACCCGGAGGAGCAGGGGCAATATTTGGACGCGGCGCCAACTCGACCATAGGGTGCTTGCCTCCTCGAGTGCTGGTCGAACCGCCACGACCGGTAGCACCTCCGCCGCGTCCGTGGGGAGTCCCCGAGGCGGCATTGGCTCTTTCCTGCTCTGCCTGCTGACGAGCAGCTTTGCTGATGCGCGGGCGACGAGTGGTACTGCCGCCTCGTGAGCCTGGGCCCCGAAGGGGAAGACCGGTTTCCTGGGAGATCGGGACCGCAGCGGCCAAAGGCACCTGGTGGGATGTTACAGGCCCCCGGCCCCGACCACCACGTCCACGGCCGCGACCACGCTTAATCGTACCGTCGGCCCTATTCGTAAGCCATTAGCATCTCAGCCAGCACTAAAACAAGGGATTCAATTTCCGAAAGGGTATGGCGCTTACCGTTCCACTTGGACCTTTTCGCCCTCCGGCACCAGCGGCCCACTGTAAACAAAGAACCCATCCTTACTGGCGGCCGCCTGTTCCTGCCAGGCCAACTCACTATCATCCACGAATGGGTCGTCTCGATCATACTCCTCCATCTTCTTCTTACGGCGCTTCTTCTTCCCATCTGCCGGTTCGGCCCCATTCGAGCGAGCGGGCGCGGATGTTGCACCTTCCCCATCCATCTCGCTGTCCCGGTCGACCTCCATGCTCAGATCCTCATCCGCACTCTCTCCTGCGGACAAACCACGTCCACTCGCCTTGTCGTTGCGCTCCAAGGCCGCTCCGGCTGCAGCTACCCGTGCCAGTCGTTCCTTGTGCGCAGCGAGGCGAGGATGTAGGGCCGCGAACCCATATTGCTCCTCCGCTAAACGTGCAAAGTTGATGATTTGATTCCCATGACCTTGGATAGGAACGTGCAGGATGATACTCGGTACCTGGCGGTTACTCGAGTCGCCTGTGGACGAGCCACCATCCACTCCGAAAAGGGCATTGGAGATCAGTCCCGAGCCTTGAGGTAGCGTAGGTGTTTCCTTGGCTGCCTTGGCCGGTTTGGGTGAGGGCGCCTTCGAAGCAGGTACTGTTGAGGGGGTTTTGGCTTCCTTCTTGGTCACCTTAGAGGCTGTCGACGAAGCAGGTGCCTCGGGCTCCACATCCATAGGCGTGGGACCTGGCGAGGGCGGTCGGTTATTAGACGGTGCTGGGGTATGAGGTTCCGAGGCCGATGGGGGAGGGACAGACGGGGGCTTTGGTTCTGGTGCCGACATCCGTGATTCCTGGGGTGGCGGCGGTGCTTGCACGGGTGTGGCATAGGGAGATCGATGGGCATACGGTGAGACTGGTCGTGGAGGTTGAGATTGAGGCTGCGGGTGCGGTTGAGGTTGTGGCGGAGTGGGTGCGATAGATGCGCCCGCGGGCGATGGAGAGTAGCTCGACGCACCGTGAATTGGAGAGCCATAGGGTCGAGGGGCATAGACGGGCGGCGACGAGGCAGCAGGCGGATCAATGATACTAGCAATGGCCGGAGAGGCACTGGCGCGATATGTCGGACGAGGTGAGATAGGGCGGGCCGGGGGACTAAAGGAGGGGCGCCCCGGAGGCGGCGCCGCAGCAGCCAACGCCGGAGTCGGTGCTGGAGCCGGGGCCGGAGACGATGTATCAAAGGCCGACCGTATGGGATCGAAATTTTGACCGCTTGTTCTTTGCGGCGGAGGAGCGGGCGGCTGGGAGTGTGGCCGCGGAGGAGGAGCGGAGGGCATCAGGCCCGGATAAGGTGAGACGAGGGTTGTAGGGGCCACGGATGGCGGTGTTGGATGGGCCGACGGTGGCAAAGACGGGGGGTTCAGGAGACGCGATGTCCCATGAGACATCGCTTCAGAATCTAGTGTTTGTTTCCGCGGGCTCGTTATGGGAGTGCTCGGAGTAGGCGTCGAGGCTGGGGCTAGAGCTGGAGCTGGAGCTGGAGCCGGGGCTGGGGCCGGAGCTGCAGATGCAGCTGAGACTGCAGTGGTAGGAGGACTGGTCGCAGGCCGTTCTGGAACAGCAGCAGGCGCGGGATTCGGTGAATGAGCAGGAGGCGCCGCAACACTGGGGCTTTGATCGGGGGTGGCAGCCTCCAACTTGGGCCTCTTGCGAGAGTGAGACGCGGCCGAATTGGGCGGGTTAGTAGATGTCGACGACGACTTCTCTCGTTGGCGACGGCTGCCCCGTTTGGGCTCCAGCTTCTCCTCCTTCTCCTTCTCTTTTTCCTTTTCCTTTACTTCTTTCTCCTTGTCCTTTTCTTTCTCTCTAGTTTTGGGGGTTCGGACGGGTTGGTTTCGTTCGAGGTCGGGGTCGTCTTCCTTCCTGCGACGCGACCGTCGGGTACGAGTTTCGCGGGCGGGATATTCAATGGAGCGCGACTCGTGTTCACCTGCAGCCGACAAAACAGATGGCTCTGTGGACATGGTGAAGAAGAGAAGGAAAGGGAGGGGAGGGAGCGAAAGGACGAATCAAAGCTGGTGGTCAAGCATCGAGTGAAAGGGCGAGGTGGGTTAGAGGGAGGAGTGGACTGATGGACTGACGTCCTTTGGGTGGTGAGGGTGGTGATGGTGGTGGTTGGCGGTTGGTGGTGAGGGAGATCTAACCCTTGTACTCAGAACAATAAAATTAGATAACAAGGGAATTGAAAGCCGAATGAATGGAGATGAAGAAAGGTTGAAAGAAGGTGGTGGAGATGGAGAGTGGATGGTGGAGGAGTGGAAAAGTGGATGGCGATGAATGGAATGGGGGGGAGAGGAAAGGGAAGAAGGAAGAAAGAAGGGAAGGGAGAGAGAAAAGCGAGAGAGTGAGAGAGCGAGAGGAACAGAGAGAGAAGGGGGAAGGCCGAGAGGGAGGCAGACCAGATGGGAAACACCGGATCAGCAACTGCAACAAAAGAACAAAAGAACAAAATTGCAAACTAAATGGATGGGGGGAAAGGGGGCGCTGTTGTGAGAGAGAGAGAAGCAAGTATAACATACATACAGAAGAGTGCTTTCGATGATGAAGAAAGATGGCAATCCGAAGTGGGCGAAAGCAAGCAACCGGGGAAAGCGTGTTTTGTATGGCCGGGGTTCCATTCCGGCGGGTGCGCTTCTCGTTCCTTTCTTGGGCCAGTTTCGATGGTTCGTTATCGCCTTTAGTTCCCTTCAAGCTGCCTGCTTGCTTGGCCCCTCAATGCACCCCCACCACCATGTGAACCGGGGTCCAAGCCATTGCTCATTATCCGTAAAATGACCCAGAATCAATTATGTCCTAGAATAATTGACGGACAAGGTTCTGTGCCCGCAAGACTGGGGACAAACAATCAAGGCAGCGTACAGTCCCAGTTTCGATATCAGATCGGGTCACCTGATTCAACGTGCTTTACCCAATCGGGGTGGTCAATCAGGTGAACCCACTAATCCTATCTGGTGCTAGCGTACCCCATTTTAGCTTTTGAGCCGCAACTGAGTCATCCTGCAGTGTCCCTGTGCGGGCTGACTCAATGCTGACTCAGCCAAGCTTCCCGGGGATGGCTTCATTTCCGACGCTTTCGGCAGCTTTTCTTCCCCGCCAAACCCCTCACCAACTATTCGACGCCATGGCCTTCCGCGGTGAACGTTTCGTCCTCGATCTGGGCTCTGACGATGAATCCTCTCCGGCGGACACCTACGATGACGCTCAGGGTGCCCCGACCCTCAACATCCCCGGGATGATCGGCGAAATCCGTGAACGCTCCCCCGCCGCAGCCCCCGCCCCGCCTACTCCAAAACCAACCACCACCGGCTTTCCAGCTCATCGCCGGCGGGCCAAACCCTCTACTTTCAAACAGCGACGAGACCCAGCTCCGTCTGCTTCTGCATCCGCCTCTGCTTCTGCTTCGAGTCCAAAGGATGAGAAAACGGCCATTGCGCAGGAGAATGCGCGGCAGCTGGCATCCATGTCGGATGCGCAGATTGAACATGAGCGCCAGGAGCTGATGGAAACCTTGGATACGTCTTTACTTGAGCGCTTCCTCCGCCGAGCTCGTATCGACGCCGATGACACGCCCACCATCTCCAAACCCACCCGCGAACAACCTGTCGCTCCTGAACCAGTCCAAGACAAGAAGAAAGAAAAAGAAGACGAAGTTGCTGCACCCGCTCCGCTTTCACCACCACCAGCAACAACAAAGACCGCAGCAACTACCTCAGCCACAACCGCCAAACCACCCTCCCCCAACAACGGCTCTTCCCAAGATGACGTCCCACCCACCCAAATCCCCTCCGACCTCCACGCCGCCGCCGAACTTCCCCCCTCAGGCAGCGTCCACTTCCCCGCGCCTCCATCCCAAGCCTCCCCAATGCCCAACCTAGATCCATCTTCGCCCTCCTTCCTCTCTGACCTCCAAACCCACTACTTCCCCAACATCTCGCACGACCCCTCCGCCCTCTCCTGGCTGCAACCCCCCTCCGCAGACCCCGAAGACCCAGACTCCACGTCCGCCTACCACCCCGCCAGCAACGCCGAAGCCGTCCACCCAGCCAACCTACGCTTCTCCCTCCTCGGCACGGTGCTTTCCCCATCAACATCTCTCTCCCTTCCCACGACCCTGGGCCTGCACCATCATGGCAAAGACCCCCACGCAGCCGGGTACACCATTCCCGAGCTGGCTATCCTGAGTCAGTCGACGTTCCCGGCGCAGCGGTGCATCGCGTGGCAGGTTCTCGGGCGGATTCTGTTCCGTTTGGGCAAGGGCCAATTCGGAGAAAGAGGGAGTCCGCTGGTCGAGGGCCTGTGGTCTGTTGTGGAGAAGGAGGGTGTTGTGGCGGGTATGTTGGCTGAGGCGGATGGAGCGACACCTGGGACGACGGGTTCTGCCCGGCGTGGTGGGCAGGAGAAAGAAGGTGAGGAAGATGAGGCGAAGGAGAATGCTACTACTGGTTCCGCGGGTACTGGTCGTCGACAACATGCTAGTGCTACTGCGTGGGCCGTCGAGGGTGTCTGGCTTTGGCAGATGGGAGGCGGAGGTGATCGAGGCGTGTTGAAGGAGGGTGCGATTCGGTCTCAGTGACTGTGTCAACCGGATCTTGACTTATTAGCGATTTCATGACTAAAAGTTCAATATATTATCAATTATAAAACATGTATCATTGCAGGTCTAAGTAATGCACATATCCTCATAATAATTATCATGACTAGACTATGTCCGGTACAGTAATGGTATCACCCACCTCTCCAGAATCACACAAACACAGTCTCTCTCTTCCTCCCCACAAACCACCTATGCATACAGGCAGACGAAGCAGAAAAAGAGATAAATTGAACACCAGCCTCTCAGAGATCCTAACAAAACTCCACCCAGCCATATCATAAGCAACATATCAATCAATCAACAACCCCACAGCCAATCAATCAATCATAATCCCCAATCTGCACACCCCAAATCTTCCACCTCATCTCCTCAATATAATCCCTTCTTAGCCAAAGTCCATCCGAAGCACCGACTTGGCCCGGCAGACTCCCATTCTCCGATCTTGCCTGCTCCTCCCTCTGCCTCTCCGCGAAGCGTTCCTCAGCCGAAGACAAGGAAGACGAGGACGAAGCATCAATCCAATTGAACAACAACCGTAACTGCCAGATGCGATCGCGGACTTCATCCGGATCAGCAGCGCGGCCACGCGCCGCCTGGATGGTATTCTTGACGATGGCCTCGAGGACGAGTTTGCTGTCCACGGCGGATTGGCGCAGCCAGGGGGCGTAAGAGAGGGCAGCGGTGTTGCTGTTACTGGTACTATTGGTAGTGGGGAAGAAGGAAGAAGGAAGGACGAGGGACTTTTCGCGGACGTCCAGACCTCGCAGAGAGGGGAGATTGAAGATCCATTCCCACATGCTTTGAGTAGGGGAGGTAGGAGTGCGATTGACGCCGGAGGTGAGGAGGGTGGCGAGATTGGGCATCGCGGCTGGGGGAAGACCCTTGCCGTGGTTGGAGGCGGAGGTGGAGGAAGGGAGGACGTCTTGGGCTTCGCTGAGGCCGGAGAGTGTGGAGACGAAGACTGAGGAGCCGGTAGGGTTGTAGGTAGCTTTGCGGCGGAGGTAGATGGACTGGTCGCCCTGGTGGAACTTCTGGCGTAGGCTAGGGTCCTTGGAGAAGTCCAGGACCAGGGGCCAGTAGTCTGCGTTGCAGATCTCGACTCGGGTGAGGCTGTTGAAGTCGGGGAGAAGACAGGGTGCGGTGATCTTGCGGCTAATGCCGTCTTGGTTGGTTAAGGTGATGGGAATGGAGATGGGTCGACGGGTGTCGATGTCGCGCGGCACCAGGCAACGAGGCTCTGCGGCGAGGACCCAGAGATGCCTGAAGGCTTGTAGATGGCATTTGTTGTCCAGGACGGTTGTAGGGAAGATTGGGTACAGGGAGCAGATCAGTGAGGCAATGGCAAGGTCGGAGGTGCCGAGGGTGTAGCTGCCGCCGCCCAGGAACAGTAGGCCCAGGGCCATATGCGCCGCCATATGGCTGCCGTAGGGAGTGTCAGCGTCAACGCGGCCGTGAAGAGACCGCAACCGACGGAAGAGCGCCAAATCACCGGTGCCTGCCATGACAGCGGCGGCAGAGAGGGCCACGACGTCCTGGCAGTGCCGAACGGAGTTACGAGCCAACTTGGCGTCATAGTTGACAGCAGGAAGTCTGCAGATTCGGATGAACTGGTCTAGATATGCGAGAAGCAGATCACGTACGGAAGTTTGTGCAGAGCCCGCATAGCGAAGGCCCAGGGTGAAGCACAGGCCAGCGACAATATTGAAGAATGGCATATCGTCACTCTTCAGTCGACGGACGCCGGTGAGGCGATACCGACGGCGGTAGACTGGCGGCAGGCTCTGTATGAACCAGTCATCCGTAGAACGAATGCTGTCCCACATAATGAGGTGTTTGGCAAGAGTGCGGAGAAGGAAAAGGTCAGGTCGAACATAGTCGAAGCGCACTGTGGTGTCCGGGATATCAATCTTCTGGGCTAAAATCTCGTCATTGGTCTTCATGAAGATGATCGCCAAAGCAATTGTAGCACCGGCCGTGGCCCGGTCCAGGACGTGCGCGAGATCCACGTTCTTTGTGCCCACTGCAACGGCCAACAACCTCTCCACGATGTGCATGTCGCGCATTCCTCGGAGGTCTTTACCTTTGGCCAGGTTGATAAAGCCAAGAGCAAGACCTGCAGCCAAGCGATATCCTTCATCGCGCAGGTCCTCGTGGGAGCCCTCCTCCTGCTCCACGTTTTCGATCTCTGACAGCATCACTTCACTCATTCTTCGATGTTGAGATCCGCAGTAGAGGAGGCCGATGCCCATGATGCCCGCTGTTTGTGTCAACGGCGACAGATTCAGCTCAGCAGCACCAAGAGGGAGCATCCGGGTGACATGAACGGAGAGAAGTCGGGTTATCAGGGTGTCCATCGTGCCCAGATACGAGGCTGACAATCCGAGCAACAATCCAATGGACGTCATTGTATGTTTGGGGGTGAGATATTTGAACGCCACCCACTTGGCCAATGATTTGAGATGCCCGTTCAAGCCCAGTGCCAACAAGAAGCCCGCATGTCTGTTAGTAAGCTCCTGAGGTTTGTTGAAAAGTATCCAGGACGTGTCAATGCCTTTCGAACTCTTCGATATAGCAAGGCCGGTAGAGACGCCGTTGTGGAAGAATGCCCAACACACTTTCTCCTCGCTGAAGGAAGCTCGGTCCGCGCTGATTGTCACGTTCGACGGTTTCATGACGCACTGCAGGGAGAACGAAGGAATTGGGAGCTTCTCTGTCAGCAATGGCAGTCGTCCGCTGAAGGTCAACATGGCCCGACCCGTGGGAATGGAGAGCGTTCTCAGCGTCACAAGCTGTACTACCTCTTTCTGGGCCTCTAGCAGGTCTGAGTCGGTCCATTCCGGCTCGGGTATGCACTCTGCAACCGGCGCTTTGGACTGATTCAGCAACCGAGCGGCGTCAATGAAACGCTTATCCTCACGGAAGATCAGCCTCGTTACTGAGAACCGGTCTGCCTCCGCGGAAGCTTCGAACGAGTTGGTTGCATCCACATCCAATGCAGAGGTACCGATATGATGCACATCGCGTATGGCATCGTGCGAGACTGCCGGCTGCAGGGACGACGTGGCCGATGGAAGCCATGGCTTGTTCCTGCCCATGGAAATGCTCAGATCTTCGCGATCAATAAGCTCGAGCAGCGTTGAGCTCCAGGACGTGGATGCATGCATTTGTGACTGCATAATCGCTTCGTACAAGGGGGCGCTGACACCTTCTGGAAAGCTCTCGATGATGCTTCTGGTGAAGCCCCAACGATGAAGAAGCTTGATCCGGTCAAATGGTGCCGCGAGGTTATGTACTTCTGAGAGGAACCCGTCGAGAGCCAGCGTCCTGGGGGTGAGCGTAAAGCACTCTTTCCATAGCCTTCCTTTCTTTGGAGGTCTGTCCGGGCTGGTTACCAGGTTCAGAAGCGTGAAGAAAGATTCTGACGGTTGGCGCCAGGCGGTTTCCAGGTGAGCAAATATTGACGGCGGCGGGAACGGCTCTGCAGGGAGATCGAGCATTGAGATGCGAGTCTCCTCGAACTGCCAGCGGTCCATACTAGCCATCTCCATGCCATAATACGCATCTTCGGCCCATGCCCAAGACTGCCAGCCAAGCCACCCGCCAAGCTGGGCCAGAACTGGAGCTAGGAGACCGAGAGGCTTGCCCGATTGCTCGCCATCACAGATCGATAATTTTTGCTCCTCACGGAATAGATGCAACGCGACGAGTATAGTGCATAGTGCGGTGCCTCGTATGCTCTGGTTGAAGGATAACGCCGTGGGCAAATAGCCACCTGAGCCTACTGAGAGTGTGCCCCGGGAAGTGTTCAGAAAGTCCCTTGTCAGAGCAATGCATCGAAGGAGATATGTGTTCGTTCGGCAGGTGGACCGGCTGGATGGCACCTGGTGGCCGTGGCTTACTTCACTATCTTCAGCGTCTTGCTCAACTATCCAGGCCCACGAGCTACTGGCCATCCACGGTGCAACCACGCCCCCAGAGCCAGACTCCTGCTCTAACATGGTCTCCCAGCTCTCGAGATCGACGTGGCTTCCACTGCTCGACCTCAACAGCCCCTTCTTTCTGCGAGTCGGTTTGGCGGGGGTCCGGGGTTGTTCACTGTCAATAAATTGGATCGCCATTGCAAACAACATCACCACCATGGCTGTCCATTCGAGATCGTTTTCGCTTGTCTCTCTTTCTTGAAGCCATGCCATAGTCTCCCACCAGGCAGCCAAAAGCCCGTCTCCGGCCTTTTCGTCCGATAAGGCAAACCGACAGACATTGAGCAGACGTTTTACCAGCTCATTGCTAGGTTCCATCTGGACCTGCAGTTTCACTTTCCGATTTTCGGAGTCAATTACATCGAACTTTCCTCTGGCTGCAGCATGATCGAAGCCTGTCACGGTGATCGGCGAGTCAGTCATTAGCCGTTTCACACCACTTTCTCTTCGACGGTTGCCAGACGTTTTGGGATTTATGCCATATGCTTCGTGAAGCATGAGTTTCCGGGGCACCTGAATCGGAGTTGCTTTGCTCCACGGAGTTTGCAACTGCAATACCTGCTCGCCACCGTCTGTCTTCTTCAGGGTCAAAATCCGTGAGATTCCACCATCGACAATCTTGCAGGCATCCCATACATCTGCAAAGTGCTGTATTCCGGAGGCTTGGACGATCAACGATCGTTCTTCAGATAGCGGGTTTTTCTTTGGCTTCTTCGAGAACACCGCGTCCTTCTTGGATACCGCAACTTTGTCTGCTCGTAGGCTGACGACCGTCATTGACTTTGCTTCTTGATCCACCAAGTAAAGCGCTAAAGCCGCAGTGTTTCCGGATTGCGCATTACCGTACTCTGACGGACACAAAGTCATGATCTTGATTTGTCGAGCTGACGGCTTTGACTTGACCGGTGTCTGGAAGGAGACCGAAAACTTTGAAGAAAAGCTTTCAACTTTGGAAAGGAAGACCTCTTCGGGCAGGCCTGACGCCGCATGGTTCAAGTCCATATTCTCAAATCCTTCAAATAGACTTTCGTTGTTCAGCTCTTCAAGCAATCTATCGACTGGTGCGTCGACAAAGCTACCGGTAGTGCTATACACTGAGCCATTACCAGGTGGAATAGAACCCCTAGGGTTGAAGCCAAAGCTACCTCGAGTACTTCCAGCTCCAAGAGATTGTCGAAAATTGCCATGTGGCATGGAGCTCGATTGACTGCCTGTGGCTAAATCGGAAAACGTAATCCTATCCTGGCTGGCGGCCAGATCCGCGCGTGCAAGGAGAGAGCTCACTCGTCTTGATGTCTTGAGTGGCACACCAATGTCCCCAAAGTCTTGACCCAGCTTGGACGCCAGGTCGTCATCATCCGGCTTGCCTTCGACGGAGTATTGCGAAAGCGACAACCCAGACGTGTTCCACCCATCACTTCTTGGGCCAAAGCTTTCTCTAGCACCTGATGGACGACCAGCGGGTGTGGTTGTTCCCGTCGTCATTCCAAAGTGCGAACTGCGTCGCTTCGAACGAGTGCCACCCGTGTCTCTCCTCTCCTTCTTCTTCGATGAGGGCGCAGTCTCGTCTTGTCTATAGTGAGCCGTCCAGATCGTGTACAACCCTGTGTTAATATTGACGGTTACCACGAGGATCAAAGGACCGGTGGAAAGCCCCCGATTAGAGCTCGACAATTCATCTCTTGGAGATACATAGACAATTGCATCCGCTGGGTCAAGAACATCCAATCCAGAAGGTCTGGTTGAGACACTAGTTTGTAGCCAACGAGACGACTGGTTAGTCACAACGAGTCCCATTTCTGAGTGCGGGTCCATAAGAGAGAACACTCTGGGCATGTCGGCATGTTTGCTTGCCCGTGGCTTCAGGCCAGGTTTGGGGGCTGGGGAAATCGTCAAGGATGGGCGTTTGGATTTGCCCGAAGGTATGTCCAGCGACTGAGATGCACGGAAGTCAGGTAGGGATGAGACGAACGAATTCGGCGGCGCTGCTGGTAGTGAAGTATTAGATTCCTCCTCGTGTAGTTTTCTCTGAATCAAAAGGCCCTTGGGGGTCGCAAACACCGAATCAACTTCGAACGGTAGGGGCACGACATGGCTGTTCCCGGCAAGAAAGAAGATGTGAGCCTGGGACTTGAGGACCACGACCAAGGCTCGCGCATTGTTCGCGTCTGTGCCGCTAGCATCGCGAGAACTTTCGCCATTCTGACCCAGCATCAACAATGAGCCCTTTGATATCCCAGCACTAAGATGATCAGGCGAGCCTCGACTGCGGCCTGAGGTACTGCCTGGCTGCGCTGCCTCGCCTTTTAAGGATTCCGAGATGCTTGACTCGGACCTCTTGATCTTTCCCACCGCAAATCTCGTCAACAAAGCATGCCTAATCTCCTCCTTTTCTAAATCAAGCCGGAACACTCTCTTGACCACCCCCGCTCGTGACCAAACCGCACAGCTTCTTGTCCAAACAATCTCATCTTCGACCGGGCCGTTGGAGTCTCGATCAACGCTCGTTGTCCATGAGTAGAGCTCCTCCGAGGGATCTGGAGGCAAGAGGCCTTCTGCGACGAGAAATGCGATGGCCGAGGGCTCATGCAATCCGAGGGATCGAACTGTAGCCATTATCGGGGTATATCGTCGGGCGTAGCGGTAGAAATTCTGGCAGTGGGAGCCAGAGGCGATATCATGCCCATTGTCAGGTTAGACCATCAAACAGGCAGGCCAGCGCGCTTGACGGATCAACGACAATGGGCGTTGTTGGGGCGTTGTCAAGGTGGTTGCGGCGTGAGGGGAAGCGAAGGCAGGCTGTTGCTTGGAGACGCGATGGACGCGGCGGGCCAACTTTCCATCCTCAACTCAAGCGGCTTTTTTCCTCCGCGGCCTCCCCAAACTTCCTTCTCTTTCACCTTCTTCCTCACCACCCACCCACTAACTGCCTTTCTCAACGCTCGCTTTTCTATCATACATGATTACTCTTAGTTTCTTCAGCTACAGGTCATTATCACATCTCTATCGCTAAGCTTGGTAACACAATCTGCCTGTTGGCGGCGTCGGTCTCCCTTTGAGCTCTGTTCTTGACCGTACAAACAACCGCCACCACAACAATGCCGTCCTTCCCATCTCGACCTCTGGTAAGGCCTAGGGACGATGGCCTTCAATTAAGGTAGATTCACACTCCGTTCTGGGCCATAACAGCAACCCCGTGCTTACCGGACACTACATCTAGCTACCAACTTCCTCATCGTGTGCACGCAGCTCAAGGCTACCCCCTCCTTGCCCCCAATGGCTCGTCGATCGTTGTTTACGGTTATGAGACTGGACTGAAGGTAGTCTGGAGAGGAGGAAGACAGTTTTCCGCCGAGAAGACTTCTGCGCCGAAAGTGGACAAACCACAGAAAGCCAGCAACGCCAATGATGATGCGGTCATGATCATCGATTCCGATGACGAGAGCATGGCAGAGACCCAGCACACTCAGCAAGATGAAGAGCCCACCTATCAGTTCGAGGAGGATGAAACCGAGGTGGACCCCTTCCACCCTTACGACGATGTTTTGCGCCAGATTGATATACCCCTTGGAAGCAGAGTCCTCCAGCTGGCTGTGCCTCGTGTCCTCCCTGAAACAGCGCGCTCTTCGCTCGATCCATTTCCCCCGGCTCTGAAGAAGGACATCATCGTTGCCGCTGTGTGCGCGGACTATTCTACTCGCATTGTAACTCTGCCTTTGCTTCCCCCTCACCCCACGCAGAGCGATTTCAAAATTCAGACAATATCAATCAGCGGTGGAGTATCGCACCAGGAGATCCCGCGGGGAGTCAGCATCGCATTCACCTACCAAGAATTTGATCAGCAAGATCAGGATACATCTTCAAGCCGTGGTTCATCCCGCTCAACTACAGGAAGGTGGGATCTCCTCGTCGCGACACATTCGGCTGAGTCGTCAGGTCTCTTGATCATTCATCGGATTCCGGTCGCAGAGGATGAAAAGGCCCGCGGCACAGTATATCGTCTATGCGATGATGAGATTGAGACTAAGCGACGACACTTGCCCGCCCCTGCTGTGAATATCTCTTTCAATCCCTCGGGTTACCCTGCCCTTCGACACTCCACGTTACTCGTCGCATTCCACAGCGGATGTGTCAAGGTATACTCCTGCTTTTCCACAAAACCCCTCAAGGCCTCGCGGAGGTCGTCCGGGGCTCAGAGCGAGTTTGAGACAGTCGACACGGAAGGGAGGTGGTTGATCAGTCTTTACCCCGGATTCGAGCAGTCTGCTTCGGGGCTCCCTCGGCGAAAGATCATCACTCACGCGGAATGGGTGCTTGGAGGTCGTGCCATCTTGGTCCTCACATCTGATGGCGAATGGGGTGTCTGGGATTTGGAAGGGGCTGGCCCCGGAACCATCAAGGGTCCTCTTCAGCGACAGTCGAGTGTACAGGGAGTGACGGGAGGCTCATTGACAACGTTCTCCGTCAGCGGTAGGATTCTAAGTCCCCTGCCTGGCGCCAGTCGGTCTGAAACAAGCGGACCTTCCTTCGAACAACGGCCCAAGTTTGCGCCCTTGACGCCATCTACTAAACGTCTGCGCGAAGACACGCTGCTCAAAGGCGCCTCCGTTGGCACAGCCACCCCATCCCTGAGTGGAGGAATCTCGGTGTATCAGACTAACTCTTGGAGGGACGCGCTACCCGATGAATCGATTTTGCTGCAGCATGGAAACCAGAGCGCAGTCATTCCCAGTCTGCTCTCCTTGTGGCGCAACGCTGTCAAGGCTAGTGGTACATTCGACTCATCCAACCGCTGCCGGGTGTCTCCTCTCCAAGATATCACCCTAGTAGGAGAGCGCCTGAAAGGCATCGGACACCTCCCTGCGGCGCCCCGCTCCACACGCACACAGCCATTTGACATGCTTCTCACGGCCGAGCATCGACTCGTGATTCTCGCCCCACGGTTGACTGAACCAGCACCAGCACCCGTTACCGAATACATCCCCGAGCCACCCACCAAGGAAACAGACCAGCAAATGCTCCAAAGGGGCCAGCTCGGCGTGGAAGGAATGGACCGACTCCTAAGTGGCATGGCGAGCACAAACCGGTCCCTCCGTATAGGAAGCCCCGTCAAGCGGACACGCGTCTTCACTTAAGCAGACACAGTGTCAACGGCAGAACAGCCAACCACCCTCCATTTTCCACATATACTCCCACATGTTCCTAACAAATGAAGCTGAAATCAAGACCAGAGATACCCATCCATCAACTTGCACCTCTCATACCGCTTTCCTCTCCTCCACCCGTAGACCCCAATCCCCCAAATTCGCACTGCAAGGTGGAGCGCAAGGCGAGGTCCATGCCTTGAAATCCCTTCCTTCCCACCCTTCCTCTCCCACGATCCCTATCGTGCGAGAAAGAGGGCCGGGTTCGAAAGGATAAGCTCTGTATCGGTCGCGAGACATCAACCATCACATCCCATCATCCACTTTCTTCGTTCTTTAGAATTCTTCTAAAGGACAAGCAATCAACCCTCCCCATAACCGGGTTATCATAAAACCCAGCAACCACCCCATCCTCAAACATCAGATTGGGTTCTCTGCTCCTTTCCCTTTCTCTCCCTCGTGACTCGATGCTGATCTATCCGTCTGTTTTTTTTTTCTGTCCATGCGTTCACGCAGGGATGGAGAGGTGCTTCTGTATCTCTTCATCTGGATGGAGTTTGGATGGAGCTGCTGTCTACATCAGTATCAGATGCGAGTGGATGGGTTAGGGACTGCTGGTGTTGGGGGTGGGGGTTGGGTAAGGGGGGTTGAGTTGGTGGGAACATTTTTGTTATCGTTTTTAGTTTTTGTCCTAGTGCAGGTCATAGATCTGTCTGTAGATGTAGATATTGAACGTACTAGTATCACTCGCTTTCAATAAGTTATCTTACACATCATTTGCAAAAAACATCATTTAATCGTAGAGTAGTGACTGGGAGGCATGCCAAACATAGTAGTATATATACATTTGTCCACGGATCAGCCCACCTGACAGCCAAAGGAGAAAAGCTTGTAAGGATAATGATGGACTCAATCAGGTCCAACTAATTAGTTACCTGTTTACTACTATATTTTGAATGCTACCCAGGGCGTATGCTCAGGATAGATGGGAACATAACCAATTTACTACTACGGTATACTGAGTAATGCACGGAGGAATGTAAGGTCTAAGAACCATCGTTCTTCTGTCTCTTCGCTTCTTCTTCTCTTTTATTTTTCTTTTTGACTCTTTCGGTGTATGTATATACAGATATACAGGGTAAAATAGCTAATGTCACCCCTCGCTGAACACAGTTCTAACACACCAGAAAGCTATATCATCGACATCCATCCAGATCAGATCAGAGAAGATAATACTCCGTCACAGCAAACAGACCAGCCAGAGCCACTGGACAATATGTACAATTCATACAGGCAGCCAGCCAAGAAGAGAAATAAAAAGTAAATATCATGATATAGTGTAAGGGAGCAACGCCAACAGCGCAGAAACCGGTGCGCATATTTCCAAATGGGTGTTGATTGAAATGCTGTTTAGTAGTAATCCAGATCCATGACCCAATAGGATATGGGTGCCTCTGCTCTATCCATTGTAGCCCAGCCCTTCGAGCTCCTTGCGCACCGACTCCTCAGTCTGGATCTTCTTCATCTGCGTATCCTCGAGCTTCTCTCCACCGGCAAGGCGCATTTTCAGCTCGTCGATCGCGCGGATCTTCTTCAAAAGACCGCGGATCTTCTTGTCCTGCGCGGAGTGAGCACCGCTGGCGTCGGCTGCTGCGGCGGCGGCGGCGGCAGCGGCAGCGGCAGCAGCAGCGTTGTTGGCATTGGCATTGGCCTTGGGTGCCTGAGCTCCATTGGCCTGGCCGCCGTTCTTGCGCTCATTCTGACCCTTGGAACGGTTGTCACCCTTCTCGCCGCGGCGGTCCGGGCTCGGCTCGTCCTCACCATCCTTCTGCTTCTTGGCTTCACGCTTCTTCTTGTTGCGCGCAGCGGACTTGGACAGCTTCTCCGGCTGGTCGGCACCAGGAGGCAGAGCGACTCCACCTCCAGGAGCGGCTCCCGGAGGAAGGAATTCCTCGGCCGGCTCGGCACCCGGCACCTCACGTCTGCGCGTCCGGCCAAATCCGTTCGTGGTGTGAACGGTAGCACCGCCACTGGCACCATCCCGGACAAAGACCGCGCCGCCCTGATCCTCGCGCTTGAAGGCGAGAGGGGTGAGCTGGCCGCGGGCACCGGGAGGCCGGTACGCACCGGCGGGCTTGACCGGAGCCTTCTTGGTGCTCAGGTACGCCACGGCGGAGGGGTGGGGGGTCGGAAGCGGGCTGAACGGATCACCGAGGGGGTGCTGGATCAGCGACTGGGGGCGCCAGCACACATCGTAGAGCTCGTTCATGTCCTCGTTGTACATCAAAGCACCGCTGACATGCCAGATACGGATGCCATTGTCGACTCTGAGGCGAGGGCTGGTGGTGGCCGTCAGGATATACTGACCATCGGGAGACCAGTTGCAGACACTGGCGTTGGAGGCTTCGACGGTGGCGATCTTGTGGAAGTTCTTGTCCATGTCGTAGATGTCCATCTGACCGGCCAAGTTACCGAAACCAGCCACCAGCACGAATCGTCCGTGGGGCGAGAAGAGGATGGTATTCCGAGGGGCCAGAGCGAAGGTGTGCTTGGGCACACCACGGAAGTTGAAGATGGTGGTCTTCGCGGGCATGTAGCCGTATACCACACCGAACTCCTTGGAGTTGGGAGACCAGGTCACATCGTGAATAGGTCCCTCCTTATCCAAGTCCACACGAGAGTCGAAGCCACCACCAGCACTGAGCAGGTAGAGGGTAGTCTCGCCGTAGTAACTCTTGCCCGACCGATCCACGTCCGTCTGCGCAAGCACGATCAGGGTGGTACCCTGCTCGTTCCACTTCAGCTGGACCTTGTCGCCCTTGAAGAAGGTCTTCTGCGAGACGGGGGCTCCGAACTGAGGCACCAAAAAGACCTTGACAGCAGCGGGTTGTCCCTAAGCAGCAATGTATTAGCTCTGGAGTAATGATACTCTCATCGGGGTTATAAACAAGTGCACCATACGTACCTTACGCTCAGGAATGAAGACGGCCACAGAGTGGTTCTTGCCAGGAGCGACCGCAAAGTCCGCAACCCCCTCCACACGCAACTTGTTCCAGACCTGAGACAGGTTCTCGCTCTGGTAGAACTGGACTTCGTTGGTAACGACCCGGGCACAGTAACGCTCGTCGGAGGTGTATTGAAGGTTCCAGCCCGTCTGCGACTTCTGGACGAACTTGCCCACAGGCGTGTCCACATCGCCGTTCTCGGACGACTGCACGACCTGCCAGACCTTCAGGTTCTTGACGGCATCGCCGTTGGCATCCTTAGAAGAGCGTTGCCAGGTGATCAGGTAGGTTCCGAGGGGCGAGAATCCCAGCTCGAAAACGTTATCAGCAGCGATGGTCGAGACCACATGTCCGACCGAGGGATCGACGATGGTGACCCTAGTAAGCAACTTGTAAGTTTCCTTTCCTCCTTTATCGGTTTGAGTGAGAGTCGGTTAACGTACTTCTCTGGGGATGCCCATGCGAAATACCGGCCGCAGGGAGAGTAAGCGCTACAGCGAAGGTTTCCTTCGGGTCTGCAAACAGAAAATCAGAAGATTAGCAGGCTATTCGGAGTAAAAAGTCGAACGAATTAGACGTTACATACCTTTCGAACCCCGACAAAGGTTCATAAACTGGGGCGGCATCCAAGATGCCAACGCCCTTGACCGTACGGTCTGCAGCTAGTTAGAGTTGCCCTTGAACAGCAGAAGAATTCCCCGAGAAAGTAAAGCGATGTTTTCTTTTTCTCAAGTCCTCTATTATAGAATGGGACGAAGAATAAAATTGTAGGTAGACTCACAAGCAAGCTGAGTGGGAGCTGCCATTTCGAAATGTCTCTCAACGTTTCACTCTGGTGGGACGAAACACGTATTCACAAAAGCCACGGGAGCAGCTAGAGGCGCGCGCGCAGACGATGCTAATGCGACAGACCAGGGAATATCACAAAACCCAGGATCTCAGTGGTAGAAGAAGAGAAACGTTCCCCGCCACTTAGGTAGTGTGTAACAGGGCAGCAGAAAAATTGCACGGATAGTCTTCGGAAGAGTTCCAGCGGGAAGACTGAACGGAAATTTTACTACCGGGGGGGTAGAGATAACGACGACGAAAGGATAAATCGAGAGTGGACGAGGTGTAAGATATTGGCCGTTGGGAGGTTGAAAGCGTGGCGAGAAGTTGTGGTCTGGAGTGCCGCGAAACACACAAACACACACAAAGACTCAAAAGTGGATGGCAGCGAAGCTTGGCGGGATTGAACGAATACCTCAGTACGAGTCTCCGGTTCCAAAGGGGGAATTCTCGATGCTTGACAAGTCAATGCCAGCAATGACAGGGACAGGAAGACAGTCGGGGTTGGAGGGAGGAGGAGGGGGAAAAGGAAGTTGGAAGGAGGTGGGGAAGGTGACAGGAGGAAGAGAGGAAGAGAGGAAGAGAGAGAGAGAAGAGGAAGAGGAAGAAGAGGCGCCGAGAGAGAGAGAGAAGCCAGACTGAGAGAGTGAAAGGCTGAAGGGGACCCGCGATGGAATCCCCCCTCCCCATTGGGCGATCTCGGCCCCAGTTCACCAAGTTCCAGTTGGATTGTTGCTCGTTTTTCGCCTCCATTTATTCTTTTCCCCCAACTACTGTACTTAGTACTTTTTCTTTAATTGTTACTACTTGCAGTGACGGGGTGTTTTACTTTCTAGATTAACAAGATGACTACCATGCTTCCTGCCATACATGGGAAGCACTACCAGAGGGACAACAAGTAACAGAGATCCCGGGAGTCTAGACTTTTGGCAATTGTGAAGGAAAAGAAGATTCGCCCCGATTCGCCTGTTGGAGTCAATCTGGTCCTGCTCCGGTCGGGATGGAGATCCTCCTCGTTGGACCCGTAATGCTTAGATTAATCTAATTCCAATTAACTTAACATTATCGTAGTTTCGTCAAGACTGGCTGGTGGGCATTTTCAATTGCTTCACAAAGTAACCTGGAAGAAAAAAAAATAAATAAATCAATAAATAAAAACAAATGACTCGCTGCTAGCTAACTATTCTACAAGTAAATATTCATTGATCTCCCGACTTCTCCCTCCCTCTCTCTCTCTCTCTCTCTCTCTCTCTCGTCCTAGAGAACCATGTAAAATAAATGACCAGAGCCCACAAAAGCCTCCCTCGCCGATAATGATCTTATCCTCCTTTCTCCCCCCTTCCATCAAAAACATGTCCCATTCTTTTTCCGTACAATTACAATACCAAAAACCCTTGAACTTGATTGAAGCTTGAAAATACTTGGCAGCAACGCCCGTAATCCTATCCTTTTGACAACCCGACCTTATGGCCATCGGTCTGTCTGTTTGTCTGTCTCCCTTTTTCACCCACAAAAGAAAGCAAACTAGTAACTCAAAAAGTCGGCTGCTCGCCACCTTGAGCGGGAGTGGCCAATCGCGGGGTCCTCACCGTGGTGTCAATCACATCCGAGTCGAACGTCATCCCATCGACCATCCGCGCATCTTGTGTAGGTTCTGGTGTCACGGATCCGGTCGGCGACTGGGTCGACAGCAGCATCGCGCCCTCCCCAGAGTGTTGCTGATGGTGGGATGCGAATGCGCTCGCACGGCTCACTCCAGGGCTGCCCAATGAGGTAGGTCGATGTCCCGATGATGTTCGGTTCAGCAGCGGATGTGAAGTTGGTCCACTAATGGTACTGGCACCTTCGCCGAATGCCACCAGGCTAGCGTCGCCTTCATCGCTGTAGTTGCCTACACTGGACGTCCCGTCCTCCGGGTACTCGCTCATTCGGTCTGCATCGAACGCATCACTGCCACTGGCCCAGGTCGTGCGGGCGCCCACGCTGCCTGTCGCACTGGCACTGCCTACCGTACTTCTTTCTTTGACCCCAGATCCACTGTCAAAGTAGCCGGGGTATTGAGTCCCTGCCATCATGCCCGAGGGCTGTGGAGTGCCACCCGCTCGAGCCGTAGCCACTCGTTCCAGGCCTGCTAGACGCGAGATACGGTCGGCGCGTTCTGCTTCCAGCGTGGTAGTGGATGTAGCAGATGCGGAATGGGAGTGGTGGGCGTGACGACCGTGGGGAAGAGGCTGACCCTGATGGCCATCTTTGATGGCGGTTGTAGACAAGGCCGACAACGAAGTCGTACCGGAATTCGGGGTCCCTCTAGTGCGTCGCAAACTTTTTGTCAGCTTGATCTGATAATGGTACTAAAGAAATGAAGATAAAGGCGAAACGCTGCATGACAAAATCAGAATGAAAGCTTGAACAAGCTGGGGAACTTACGGCCCCATGTCCGATGGAGTCACTGGGTCCGATGGCGGGGGAGGGAGATTGATCAGAGTCGGAGTAGTCATCTTGGACTGATAAAGCTCGGTTGAAGTTGAATATTCACAAAGTGTAGGGACGTCTGCCCAATGTGAAATGCAATAAACGACAGAGGTAGATGGCGCGATTTAATGAGGGTGTGGTCCTTCAAGGAGGTGCAGCGGTAAGGGAGTCGATCTGGATGCGAAAGACTAGGGGAAGCAAATAACAAGATGGTTTGAGAGAAGAGACGGATGGATCTGCGGGGCAGTGAATTGGCTGGTCTACTTATGATGAACCAAGTCGCGTAACAATAAGAGACGGGGGGGATCCGTGGTAAGAGTTGGGAGATCGCAATGGGGTTTATTAAAGTTTGGGTGCGGAGGGTCCAAAGCCAGCTTGGTGGTGGTAGTAGTAGTACTGTGGACTAAATAGTAACAGGAGGGTAAGTAGTAGTAGAAGTAGTAGCAGTAGTAGTAGTTAGTAGGAGGGAAGTAAATGAATGAATGAATGAACGGGTCAGTGATGAAAGTGAGGCTGTCGGTGGGCCAGCACCATTCATTCAAACCTTCAATCTGAAGCAGATTCGCCTTCTTTCTTTTTTTTTTTTTGGTTTTCTTTTCTTAGAATACTATCTCCCAGCCTCAATGCAGGTCCATTCCAGGCGTCTTCTAGTGGATGTTTCGGAAAGCCATCGTCAGTTCCCCGCGGTTTCGGAGGGGGCATTTTCCCCTGGAGGTGATTGTGACTAGTCCAGTACTCCGTAGTACTACTACTATGATGATTGAATGCTTGAACTCGGCTCCCTCTCTATGCCATGGTCCCCAAAAGGGTTTAGTCTCTCCCCCAGCAGCCCCTGACGTCACCCCCGCCGCTGGCACTTCACCAACCAATCAACATCGGGCGCGGGGCTCGACACCTGGGAGCCTGAATGGTCGGGTTCCGAATGCAGCCTCCCACTACACCCCTCTCACCCCAACCTGGAATGAATGTACGCCATACTTGCATTCCCGTTCCATCTGGACCCTCGAAGAATGACTCTATTATTGTGGCATTGGTTTCGTATGGTGACAGGTCTAATATACTGTGATAGCGCTGCGGCATTCACTTGTCCGAGAAGGGGAACATAAACATGAGTTGAAAAATAAGATGTGAAAAAAAAAGAGTTAGAAGTTGTCATCCACCCCTCTGGCCTTTTCCTCCTTCACTCTCTCCTCCGTAATGTCCCACCACCAGCTGTGTGGCGCTTCCCGGCTTGAGCGAGGTTCGCGACCCGACCGGACAGCCTCGCTCTCATCCCACGGTTTGGGGTTGAGCAAGTAGTGCATATTCTTGACGCTCTCGTCTCGCCAGATCGCATCATGAATCCCCTCCCACCGCATGGTTTTGAGCGCATTGTAAATGTATGGCAGCGCCACCCATCGCCCAAAGAACACATCTGATAGCAGGGATTGATCGGCAAATTCATAGTTGGTGGTCGCAGATGAGGACAGCTGCGCCAGAATCTTATCATAGACTTCGTGGGACGGATTGACCACCTGGAGACCGCCGTTGGGGATACCCAGCCCGGCCGTGGGTGATGCGCCCTCTGTCTGCGCGACATCCGGGGTGGCATGCTGGGATGTGTATGCGCAATTGGATGGAATCCTGGACAATGGTGCATTAGTCTTTTGTTTACTTGTCGGATAAGTTGTGTCCTCGTAGGACTCGGGAATGGAAGATGGATAGTCCATACCAGTCAGGAGGGTAGTGCGGCTTCTGCAGCGGGTTACAGACACAAGCATGACTGGCGGCAAAGACACGATTCCCTGTCCCAGCCAGGGCTGGAGGGTCTAGCTCGAGCTCCATCAACTCATCCATGTTGCGGAGAATCATCATATCACTGTCCAGCTGCACAACGCGCTCATACTCCACAAGAGAGAAGGGCGTGAGTTTGCTCCAGCAGTCATAAAACCGCACATCATTGACGTAGTCCTTGGGAACTGAGGGCAGCAGATAAGGGACACGCTGCTTCAAGATTCCACGGGCATCAAGAGCAGCATGACCTTCCGCTGGGAAGGAGTCCGTGTAGAGAGCAATCAGCGGATATTTCGAGCCCACTTTACGGAGGGAGTACTCCAGGGTCAGTAGCCCCGGCAGATAGGCAGTGTTTGTAATTAGAGTTGTCCATACTGAGATGTGTTAGCTATGAGTGCTCTCGAAGAGTTCTAGTGCCATGGTTGTGGACAGTACCTTTTGTCGCATCAGTTATGCGGGGGGCACTGGTATTGTGGGCCATGGCCGGAAGAATATAGATGCTTTAGAACCGAGTCGCCGAATGAGAGTTTTGCACACCAGGATTCACGCTGGACAGCTGCCTGGGGTTACTTAATAGCGAATTGATACTCGCGCTTGCAGTTCCGGAGACGACTTTGTCAGGCACTGAACAGCAAGAAGTCAAAAGAGGGGAAGGAGCGAGGGACGTGGGGATTGAGGACGCGGTTGATGACTTCGGGTCATCGGGAACCTCTCAATCATCACGGAAGCCTAACCGGCTTCGTCTTAGTGATATTCACCATCCTTATCTCGATGACACCATTAGTCAGGGATCGGACATGGAAAAATCTCGAAGCTTTAGATATTAACATTACTACTATGCATAGTAGATACTAGATAGATATTATCTATATATATATATATCTCCCTGCTATCGAAAGAGTGGGCCCGCGGCTGAAGGTGTTCTTCACCAACGATAAACGAGAAATGAGAAAGTCAAAAGTACTAGGGTCTTACATGGATACGATACGATAACTCTACACTGTTACTACTTACGGTTCTTATCAAACACATCCAAATTAGCCTGCTTGATATACGACTAATTACAGTACAGTACTCTCCGAACAAGAGCAGTTACAGCATAATCTTGCTTACTAACATGCATTTGGTAGTTATACTCCATACAACAGGAGACACATTTCCTAACAACTCACTATTCGATCTAATATTAATCATGGAAACCAGACTATTTGCTGCATGTAAATACTACCAGTTATGGTATCTGCAACAGATCTTTGCCTGTTCGGGATCAGGCGGTCAGTCCCGTCCATGGAATCCTCTTGATGCCTGGGGATATTAATGGCTCTTCTTTACTTTTACTTTACTCCGCCCCGAGCCCGGAGAAAGTAAACAACCTCCTTTTATCAATTCCACCCTCTCAGCCATCATTCCTATTAGTTTCCACCTGCTTTGGAGTTGAACAGCTCTTCTACTGCTAGCAAAGAGACTGATAAATGCCCGATCTCCTGCTCTCATGACGGAGCGCAGCAACGAGGCGGAGCCTCTCATCCGCGATGGATGGGTGCCGCCGGACTCGCATATACCGCCAGGTGCATCCACCCCTGACGAGGCATCCAAGAGCAGCGCATATCTCTTCATATTGACCCTAGCCATGGGAGGGTGAGTACTTAATGGCAAGTGTTTGCTCTATTGTCCTCATTGACCCGTTTCTTAGTCTCCAGATTGTCTATTCGATCCAGCATTCCAGTGGATCAGTAAGTTGTAAACCTCGAGAAATTAAGCAAAGTATCAGTAGCTAATTTAGACATCACTTATCCTATAGCCGTATCTTTTATCTCTAGGAATGAGCAAAGCGCTGCTTGCCTTTGTCTGGATTGCAGGGCCCCTTACAGGCACTCTTGTGCAGCCTTACATTGGCATCCGAAGTGACAATTGCCGCATCTCCTGGGGCAAGAGAAAGCCGTTCATGGTATTCGGTGGCGTACTCTTAGCTATCTGCCTGCTAGCTCTGGCGTGGGTGCGAGAAGTAGTGGGTGGCCTATTTGGCTTGTTTGGCCTTGATGCCCAGGCAGGTGAAACCAAAACTGCAGTCATTGTGGCTGCAACGCTCTTAATGTACTGCCAAGACTTTGCCATCAACACTGGTATGATATCCACTCTATCTTGGCTCTCCTGTAACATAATTCTGACATCCTGTCACAGTTCAAGCAGCCACCCGGGCTTTCATTGTCGATAATGCCCCGGCTCATCAGCAGGAAGCGGCAAATGCCTGGGCAAGCCGTCATGTCAGCGCAGGGAACATCTTCGGCTTCATCATTGGCGGTTTGAATCTGCCGAAGATCATTCCATTCCTCGGAAATACACAATTTAAAGGGATCAGCATAATCGCTAGCATCTCACTGGCAATTACTCTATCCATCGGTTGCGCTTATATCAAGGAAAAGGATCCGCGTATGGAGCCGTCTTCACCTGCCAGTCTAGGGTTTGTTTCATTGCTTCAGTCCATTAGAGACGCAGTTCATCGTCTTCCGTTGCGCATTCGCCAGGTCTACATTATTCAGGCTGCAGCATGGTTTGGGTGGTTTTCGTTCTTGTTCTACGCCACCACTTACATAGGGCAGTTGTATGTGAACCCTATCTTCGAAAGGCATCAAGATCTATCGGATGATGAGATCAACAAGGTATGGGAGGATGCTACACGCATCGGTACTTTAGCGATGCTTGTAAATGCACTAGTGTCCTTTGCAGCGAGTATCATCCTGCCAATGCTGGTGGTTCCTTCAGAGAGGCAAATGGCAGCTGAAGCGAACAACAGTTCAAGCAGCTTTCGACTGAAATTGCGGATCCCTGGTTTATCACTACGCCGTGCATGGCTCCTCTCTCATTGCCTATTTGCCATCTGCATGTTCAGCACGTTCTTTGTTTCCTCCCCGGGGCAGGCGTCGGTGATGACTGGAATAATCGGTATTGCCTGGGCTGTCACAGCGTGGGCACCCTATGCCCTTATCGCGTCTGAGATCGCTCAAGAGGACCCCGGACGACCGGCACATCATCGAGAGAGATCCGGCGAAGTAGAAGGAGCAAGTATTCTGCCATATGTTCAGGAATCTGACGAATCAAGAAGGACGGAAGAAAAATCAGTAAACCAAGCTGGTGTCGTCCTTGGTCTACATAATGTCGCTATTTCCTTCCCCCAGATCATTTCCAGTGCGATAGGCAGCCTCATCTTCAAGGCACTGCAGAAGCCACGGGGACAGCCTTGGGATACCAGCACAAGCTGGGTTATGAGGCTTGGAGGATGTGCTGCCATTCTTGCAGCTTGCCTGACAATGGGGCTCCACGAGCAGTCTAGGAGAAAGTAGAACACATGATGGCCATCGCACAATCTCGGTATCTCACTTGGGACTAGAAATTACAAATAGATCTTGGTATTCGACATCTTTCATTATCAAAGGCCCCTCAATGCCTTCATGTGCCAGCCAACCGTTGGTTTTTGGCAGCATCGTAGCGGCACTCAAAGCTGGAGGAGTTGAAGCGCCTCGTTCTGTTATTGCGATCATGCAAGGCGCTGGAAAGCCTCGTGAAGGGGATCCAGGCGCAATCAACATGCATTCTATTTGCGGAGATGAACATCGATGGTGTTCTCAGCCGGAGTCCACTCGGATCCTGCGACGACGGCGGTCGATGGTTGGCGGCCGAGGCGCTCAGATGCATTAGCGCAGCAACCCTTCATCATCCCCTCAACTTACTTATCCCAGGCCCCTCCAGAGATCATGAGCTCGCCTTCGATGTCAGTCAAGAGTATCGTCGCTCGGCTGCTCGCTGGGTTCAGCCTCCGAATGGATGTCTCGTCAACAGTGGCTACCTGGCTCTCTCTCGCCGTTACGGTGGTAGGGCTTGGCTCCATTGTCACTCAATTCGGGACGATCATCGATCAGACTGACCCCTTCCACACCCTGCGAGATGTACAACACCTGGGCCGCTGGCGGTTCTGGCAGCCACATGTACCATGGTATAGAGTCGTGAAGCCCCCTCTTGTCGGGCCTGTAATCAACGCCAATTTGCCATGCGGGCTCTGTGGCAGAAAGACCGTTCATGTCAGTCGGCGGCCACTCGCGCAGCCAACAGGTAAGGCTGCATGGTCTATCCTGCTCAACGTCATTCATCCACCTTCTACCACCCTGGAACAGCCCTCCCAGACCGGCTCGTTAGTCTCTACCAAAAGCCCCGTCAAGACCGAGCACGTCGTGACCCTCTCGGGAGAACCGCCAGTCCAGCTGCCAACCTGGGATAGCCTCCCTCGAGGCCCTCTCACCAAGCACAAGCTAACCGCTTGCACGGTCATTTCTCGCGCAACCCTCATGGCTCTATTCACCGTAACCAATGCTCGACCAGTGTTTCGACACAGCGGCGCATCTGGCCATCGAGCCGCATACGCCTCCTACTGCGGACAATGGTACGTCGAATGGCCCATTGGTGACACCGCACACGTCCACTTCGCGGCCCACGATTCGCACACTCTGAACAAAGACGTCTATCCCCCGACCTTTGAAGTCCGTGTCGACCGCTGTCTGCGCATGCTAGCCGGTGTCATCGAAAGCCCCGCGTCCTCTCCACCATTCAAATGCGCCTTCCCCGGCCGCAAAGCATCGGGCAGGTGGGTTCTTGAACACATCGTGCGAGGCTTTGGCGGCGCCCACGGCAGCAGACACCTCTACAACATGATTGGAGGCAACGTCAATGAAGTCGATCTTCTATTGATGAAGCCCGTCACCGAGGACACTAATGACTACGACATACCAGAGCTAGAATCCAGTTCCACCACTCTCACCCTCCCCAGCACCGAATCCAACCCCCGCCACCAATCCACTACCACCACTACCACCCACTCCGTAACCCTACACATCCCACCCCACGAAGCCACCATCCTCAACACCTGCCTCGACTACCTCCCATGGTCCTCCCTCTCATGGTCCATCCACCGCGGCCTCCGCGACATCCTCCTCGCCTTCGCCAAACCTCGCATGAACCACTACCGCGCCCAACTCGCCCATACCCTCCGCACCACTGTCTCCACACACGCAGACCATCTCATCGCCCGCCGCTGGGACCCCCAGTTCGTCCACAACGGCAGCATGGCCGATCTAGCCGCGGGTGCCGTGTTAGCCGGGAGCGGCAATTCCGGGGACGCGGTGCGCATCGTCACGGATATAGCGGCAGTGTGGTATGAGGGGCGGATAAAAAGTGGTGATGGATCAGATAGTATAGTATCCTTCGATGAGACCATGTTCTGGAGGGTTCCTCACCAGCAAGTGGAAGAAGTAGGTGGAGAGAGGGGAGAGTTAAGTTCCATGGCTGTTGTGGCGCTAGTCAAGTTCTTTGTTTTGGAATGGAGTGTGGAGTTGGATTATCAGATGTATCATGATTTGCCGTTGGAGTTGTATTTGGGGTGATATCTTATTCATGACTACTACTACTTTTCCTTTTCTAAAGTCCTAAAGGAATTTGCGGTTCTTGAAATATTGTGGTGGTGGTTGCTGTTAGTTATTCTATGATGTGAAATAGAACATAGAGTGGTATAATAGACCGTTTCGTCTCTGATTCATTACTACTAGTCAATTATAGCCAGGGTTATCCTCC